AGTGGCAAGTAGCAGCAACAGATCTGTGGGAGAGGGAGGAAACTAGGACTCCCATCTGGTGACGATGTGCATGCATGAAATACTGCACTGTAAGGTTCCAGCACGTGAAAAATAACCCAGTGAATCTGGTCGAGCCCCTCACAAACTCCAGCACACACCACTGAAAAATCAGCTCCGTGCTTGCAGCTGGTGAGCAGCACACCAGTGGGTGTTCAAACATTCCTAATAATGGATTTTCAAGTTAAGGAATTACATAGTCAGTTGGGTGATCAGGACCTTGAAAGGCTCACTGCCAAGGCGAGTGGACTAATTGGCAAGCAAGGACTTTGGAAAGTTTCATAAAAGATCTGAGAGTGACAGAGTCCTTAAGTAGTCATGCTGGAGGTATGTCTCTCTTAAGAAACCTGGGTTTGGGCCACTGTGTGACATAGAGTGTTGGACTGGATGGGCCATTGGCCTGATCCAACATGGCTTCTTTTATCTTCTTATGTTCTTAAGACCCCCAGTCCAAAAGAGACAACTGCCAGGAATTAAGGGAACCATTTTCAATGGGGGGGGGAAACAAATTTTACCTTTGTGCCCATGAAAAAGTAGCAGAGAACAGAATACCTCAAAGAAATAGCAGCCACTATGCATATAGCCTGTCACCTATCTTCTTCAGCCTGTGGGCACTTTGAAAATTTTAAAACAGGGATGGGACATAACTGCCCTAACCTCATCAGATCTCAGCCCAATCTCATCAGATCTCAGAAGCTAAGCAGGATTGGCCCTAGTTAGTATTTGGCTGGAAACCAGCAAGGAATACCAGGGCTCCTATGCAGAGGCAGGCAACGGCAAACAACCTCTGAATAATGGATAGATCCCAGGCAGGAACGCACAGGAACAGAGTTCCAGCTGGGTTCAGAGTTGGCCATGCCCACTACAGCCAAAACCTCTGCATGCGTGGCTACAGAGGGAAGGCTTGGAGATTGACACACACACCCGGCAACTCCAAGGCGGGCAGGCCAGGGGGGGCCTGGAAGGATCGGGGAGGCATTTAAATGCCTCCCCATGCCTTCCCCGGCCTGTCCAAGGGCTGGCTTGCCCAGGCTCCCCGCAGCTGTGGGGCGCCTGGGCAAGCCAAGAGAAGGCAGTTTAAACTGCCTTCCCTTCAAGGGGGGGCTTGCCCGGGTTCCCCACAGCTGTGTGGTGCTCAGGCAAACCAAGGGAAGGCATGGGGTGAGGCCTAATATGCTAATGAGCTGCACTGTCAGGGTGTGGTCTAATATGCTAATGGGTTTCTGCTGTTGGGTGTGGCCTATTATGCTAATGAGTTCCTGCTGGGCTTTTTTTTTTTGACAAAAAAAGCCCTGGATAGATCCAAATGACATTGTGCCAATTTTTCTACCATTTGGGTTTGGTATAATAGCAACATTAATGAATAGATTAATGAGTGCATAAGTGTGAATGAGAAGTCTTAATATAAGCCATACACACATGTGTCGATGCCTGTGTATGGCAGTGAAACTTATGGGACACAAAAGAAATAATATTCTTGATACAGTTTTCACAGGGGAAAATGTAACTTTCCCTCTCTATAAGGTAAAGCCACATTTATTAGTCTGGAATGCTTCATTCCATCTGAAGACATTTGTAAACCATACTCATAGTCTAAAAAGCAGCACTTGTGAAGCTTTCTTCATATGTGCTTTGGAATTAACAGCTCTTTTGAGATGTGTTTAATCAAAAATTCAAGTCTAAAAGAATTGTATTCCCCATGTTATCTTTATGTAAGTGGGCATGAAGAAGATGTTTATTTTACAGTTTCTGAGAGCTTTGCGCATTTTACCTAATATTGTATCCAGAATAATACTGTACAAACACCCCATGGTTGACTCTGTTTTTATCAATAACGGTGCTGAGGAGAAATCAAACTACCTAAGAGTAACAGTGTGCTACTGAAGAACAGTATTTCTAGCATACAAGATAATCACATTCAAATAGCTGTGAAAGAAGCAAGTGTACAGAAAGACGAGTGTTCCACAGTTGGTGTTCAATACTTGTGTGAAGCCTGTCTCTCATGATTACAGTGAATTGCATTCAATGCCAGCTGTTGTGGTTCTGGAACTGCTGCATCTCTGTTATTAATGTTCTTCGGTCGTGAATTGTCAGAAAACGTGCCCTTGCTCCATGTGATACAATCATGCTAGGAAACAATGGGAGAGATCAGCATGATCCAACTGACAGCAGTGGTGAAAAAATGAAATAAGGCTGGCTATGGGTGCTAGAGGGGAGTCTTATAGATAGCACGGACCACCAAAAAGACAAATAAGTGGTTCCTAGATCAAATCCCAACATGAGATGGATTGGCTCAGTTTATGCCATGGCCCTCAGTTTGCAAGACCAGAGCAAGGTTGTTAATGATGGGACATTGTGGAAGTAACCAATTCAAAGGGTCACTGTAAGTCAGAAGTGGCTTGACCCTACATAACGCACACACTCGAATAAGGGGCTGACACTTGGCATAGAGGAGCACAAATAGGAACAAGATGGCAGTGAGCAAGAAGAAACACAGCCAAAGGCGAATCTTCCGGTGGATGAAATGTTCAAATTTCACCTTTGTTCAAATCCCTCTATATCTGAGCTCTATATATAAAAAATTGTCTTTTCAATATAGGTATATTTTGCGCCAGGAACAGGAACCTTGGAAGAACATCCATTTTTATAGTAGCTATTCTACCCATCAGTGACAATTGTATATCTTTCCATCGTAACAGATCCTTCTTAAGCTCATCCACTAATTTATAGTAATTATTTTCTATTAACAAACTATTCCTGTTAGATATTATTATTCCCAAATATTTAACTGTTTTTACAATTGCCATCTCTGATATATCATTTATCATCCTTGTCTGGTCAGTTGAGCAATTTTTTGTTATAATTTTTGTCTTTTTTGTATTGATTTTTAAACCAGCGACCTTTCCATATTCATGTATTAAGTTAAGGAAATGTGGTAAAGATTCTGTTGGATTTTCTAATATAAAGACCAGATTGTCTGCGAAAACCAGTAGTTTATATTCCTCTCCTCGTGTCTTTAGACCATGTATCAGCACATTATTTCTTACTGCATCATTAAGAGATTCTAGAGCAAATATATAAAGTAATGGAAATAGTGGACAGCCCTGCCTTATCCCTTTTTGTATCTCAAGATTTGAAGAGATATCTCCATTTATTATCATTCTAGCATTTTGTGTCTTATATATTGCGGAGACCATTGTCAAAAATTTCTGTCCACAGTCCCATATTGCTAATTTATGCACTAAAAACTTCCAAGATAAATTATCAAAGGCCTTTTCAGCATCCAAAAACATTAAGGCCAGCTGTTTTTCCGGATGTGCTTCAAAGAACTCTAACACAGTTATGATTGGCCGTATATTCTTTTTAATTTGTCGTTTGGGTAGAAATCCTGCTTGGTCTTGGTGTGTTATTTTCATTAAGTCTTTTTTTCATTCTAGCCGCTAAAATGTTTGAAAATATTTTGTAGTCTACATTCAGTAAAGATATTGGTCTATAGTTCTTAATATCTCTTCCCTCCGTATCCGGTTTATGGATCAGCGTGGTCAGTGCCTGATACCAAGACCTAGGCCTATTCCCTGTATGACCTATTTTTTGAAGTAAATCTTTAAAAGGCAGACTAATCTGTTCTTCAAAAACTTGATATATTGTCATATTTGGAGCAGGAAAGAGGAAGCATTAGAAGAATACCTTGCCAGCTGCATACCATCTCAGTTATGTCATTGTCTCCTTCCTACCTACACTAAAGATGTGCACCAAAAAGCAAGATCCAAAGGGCTCAGGCCCTTTGGCTCTTAGCCCATGACTTGCAATTGGTGCCCTTGGAGGAATCAGCTGTAGAACCGTGACCTGGCCAAGATCTATTCTTTCATTTCTCTTTGTGGGGGAAAAAGTAGGATATAAACGTTTACATAAATAGAATTAAAATGAGAATAACAATCACTACAACCTTCTTTTTCATACATTGTTGAGTTGCAATGACTCATCCTTGGGATAGTAGAGCCTTTATGGAGGAAATGACATGAACACATGATGCTGCCTTATACTGAATCAGACCCTTGGTCCATCAAGGTTAGTATTGTCTACTCAGACTGGCAGCAGCTCTCCAGGGTCTCAGGCAGAAGTCTTTCACATCACATACTAGCCAATCTTTTCTTCTTTTTATGCTGGAGATGCCGGAGATTGAACCTGGGACCTTCTGCATGCCAAGCAGATGAGAACATAAGAACATAAGAGAAGTCAATGTTGGATCAGGCCAATGGCCCATCCAGTCCAACACTCTGACACACAGTGGCCAAAAATACCAGGTGCCATCAGGTGATCCAGCAGTGGGGCCAGGACACTAGAAGCCCTCCCACTGTCGCCCCCCCCCAGCACCAAGAATACAGAGCATCACTTGCCCCAAACTGAGAGTCCCTATCTATACCTTGTGGATAAAAGCCACTGATGGACCTCTGCTCCATATGTTTATCCAGGTCCCTTTTGAAGCCATCCATGCTTGTAGCTGCCACCACCTCCTGTGGCAGTGAATTCCATGTGTTAATCACTCTTTGCGTGAAGAAATACTTCCTTTTATTCATTCTAACCTGACTGCTCAGCAATTTCATTGAGTGCCCATGAGTTCTTGTATTGTGAGAAAGTGAGAAAAGTACCTCTTTCTCTACCTGTTCTATCCCATGCATAATCTTGTAAACCTCTATCATGTCACCCCTCTCTGCCACTGAGCCACAGCCCCTCCCTGTTAGATCATAGATCATAACAGATTATACACAACAGTGGTGAATGAGTGAAATATTTGGTTATCAGAAATGGTAAATATTTACGACGTCAAAAAGTTTTACCAGCATCCCCATAAAACCCACATATAAAGTGAAGGATTCAATCCAATACAGAATTTCCCGTTTCCTCCTTTCAGGACAACTGTAAGCATGACTTCAATCGCTTACCTCCCAATCAGGAGAAGTTCCCCCAGCACCTTCAGTCGCCTCATAGCTATGAGAATCCCCCTGACAGTCATTCCTTCACAGAAGCAGACCACAACTCGGGCCTTCGGCAACCTGTCCCGGAGCTTCTGCAACAATCGGTCAAAGCTCTTTTCTCCCGCATTGCTGTAGATCTTGTCCGAATGAGCAATGCAAAGACCTTCTTGGGCAGCCAGCTCTTTGAAGGCTTCCATGCCGCTCTCGCCATAATTTCCTAAACAAAACAAATGATTATTTTATTCCGGTGTGACACCAGCACCATCTGAATAGTTGCTCAATTACCAGAAGCTATATCTACCATTCAGATTATGTAAATTTTAGTTAAATGAAGCTTTCTAGCATCTCAAATCCCTGTTGGAGCCTTACTTGCCACTCATGGTAATATTAACATATTGAAATACCGCTCTCTTTTATATAAATATGGTTGTGAAAATGCCTTGGGCTATAGAATCAATTGGCTATTAGCTCATTAATTGTAACAAAAACAGTTGTGGAAGGGCAAGGGCACCCAAGTATGATAAAGATTCTTCACTTAGCTTTGTTCTCCTGCAGAATGACATTTTTTTAATATAATGAGACTTTCCAGAATCTAAAACATACTTGACTTCAAGACTGACTCTTCTTTGTTAATAGAGGATACTGAAAGCAAGCATTCGGAAGAAAGGCAGGAGGAGGCAAGGGATATAAAGGTTAACCAAGAAAGTGAGGATTTGAGTTTCTCTGGGGGCTTGTTAATACTGAAGACTTAGGAGACAAAAAAATCAATGGTGCTGTCAGATGTTAGGGCGCTTTGAATAAGTAGTGAACCAAGCTCAGAAGTGCTGGAAAGGAAATGTTCAAATGGGCACGGTATCTACTGCCTCTTCTAATGGCTGCAATATGAGCATGATTCAAAGCATCCTTCCATGTGATTTGTAGCTCACAGGTTACTCCACTCTACTTTTGCACCTTGGCTGTTTTACTGTCCTCTGCCCTTTAGGAATCTTCAAATTGTTTGCTACATAAAACCATCTCTTTGATTTTATTTGGTAGCCCATTGCTCTGTGTCCAAATGGTTATTTTCCTATGCAGGTCCTTATGGGAATGGGATGGATTGGACCATGTGCCATGCATAGGTTTTGCTTTGGAAGAGCTATTTTCTCCTTTTTTTAAAAAAAAGGTGTCATCTCGGATTGCCTCATCAATATTTTTTCCACTTTCAGTAACATGACAGCAGATTGACAGCAGAAAAATATACAAATAATAACGCAACGAAAGGTGAATTAAAAACTAATATAGCACTCTGACTATTCTACTAGATTCTTCTTGCCATCTAGGAAATGCTGGGGAAGTGGGACATAAGCAACCAGTTTCAGTAGTTTGGACAGTCCATTACTTCCTAACCAATGGAATTTACAGCAGATTTACACAGATAAGAGAAATTTGAATCTCTCCCAGCTAACCTGATTTGGAATCTGAAGAGGTGCTTGTTGAAATGCCCTCATTACCAGTACTATGAAGTAATGTACAGTTTGAGGATTTCCTTTGGGTGTCGATCTCACAGTCTAGTTTTTCCACATAGTCCATTTCTATCATCTTCACCTTGTAGACTGCCTGTTATGTGTAGGAGGTGGAGGGAGTGTGTTGGAAGCCATCCCACCTCCTCTCCTACACCTGACAGGCATCTGCCTGTCCAGTGTGGGAGGGGGAGGAATATTAGATGTCACAGTGGAGGTGGGGCTGCACCTGATGGACAACCGCCTGTTAGGTGTAGGAGGTGGGGGGAATGTGTTGGAAGCCATCAGAGAGGCTGGGCCAGTACCTTTGCTTCACCTCACAGGTGGTTCTTGGCCACTTCTGATTTTCTCACCTGTCATTAGCTCTCTGCAGTCCCCTGTAACTTTTTTTTTACCTCAGAACACTGAGCTCTGCAGCTGATCAATCAGAGAGTGGGGGGTGCAGAGAGGCAGCTGCCTGGCAGCCACATAGGAATCAATGGGCGAGCACATTTTCCCCCTTTTGACCCACTTAGGGGTAGAATATATAATTCAATAAAAACACACAAACAACACCAGAAACATTAAGTATGGTCTGTAACCATTATTAGGAGTATGCCAAGCAAAACTAAAAAGTCTTCACTTGCTGGTCAAAGACCCCAATGGAGGGAGACAGATGAATCTCCCTGGGGAGTGACTTTCACAGCTTTGGTGCCATGACCAAGAAAACTCTTTCTCAGATCACCATCCATCTAGCCACAGATGGTGTGGACAATGGAAACAGGGCCTCCATTGGTGTGGACAATGGAAACAGAGGTCATTTCGGGGGGATTGGGGGGGATCGCAGTTCCCCCGGGTGAGGTGCAGGGGGCGGGGCACACGATGAAGCCCCGCCCCCTGCTTCCGGCCGCCCCGCTTCCAGCCCTCATTCAGCCAGGAGGAGGCAGGAGAAGAGGGAGGATAAATTGCTTCCCCCCTGCCACTCCCCACCCCTGCCTGCCTGGGGCCAGGGAGGGCCTTGGTGGGGCTTCCTCGCACTCCCACCGGCCTTGCAGATCCACCGCCGGGCCCCTGATGCCAGGGGGTGTGGCATATGCTAATGAGTTATGCTAATGAGTTCCCCTAGCTTTTTTTCTACGAAATGACCCCTGCTCCAAAGAGAAATTGAGTGTATGAGTAGGTTCATATGACAGAAGGTGGTCCTTAAGGTATGCTGATCCCGGGCCATACAGGGCTTTAAAGGCCCAGCACCTTGAATTGAGTCTGGAAGTAAAATGGAAAGATATGGTCCCTGTGACCCACTCCAGTCAATACTATGGCTACAGCATTCTGTACAAACTGGAGCTTCCAGACAGTCTTCATGGGGAGTTCCACGTACAGTGCATTGCAGTACTATGCTCTAGAAGTTACCAGGGCATGCACCACAGTGGCAAGTTCATTTTTGCCTAGGAAGGGTGGCAGCTAGGCTTGCCAGCCCCCAGGCCCAGGTGGGGGATCCCCCAATTTCAGGGGCTTCTCCCTGTCACAGACCAGCTGGCCGGTGGGGGAACCCTGCCCCTAAACAGTAATATTATTGCATCGGGAATGTCATGTAGAGATGCTCTGGTATTTAGGCAAACTCTATGGTCTTGCCCCTGGTATGCCTTGGAGGTCGCCCTTCCAAATAGTAGCCAAGGCCAACCCTGCTTAGCTTCTGAGATCTGACGAAATTGGGCTAGCCTGGGCTATCCAGGTCAGGACAAGAATGTATATGCCCTCAAATGGTACATTTGAGAGTGGATAGTAGTTATTCAGTTTTCCTGGGTCAAGAGTAGGTTTCTTTAGGATTGGGTGCACCATTACCCACGTCAAGGCAGGAATAGTTACCCCCTCTTTTGGGCAGGCATCTATTGTCTCCTGGACTCAGCCCACCAGCCCCCCCCCTGGCAGATTGAAGCAGTCAGGAGGGGCAAGAATTGTACAAGCATGTGGTGGGTCTCAATATTCCAGGAATCCTGTCTACATCCCCAGAGGGTGACTGAAGAAGGCTGGGTGTATACAGAATGCATACTTGGGATCAGAGCAACACGATAATAGCTTCTTGGTATCCCTGGCTGGAAGAGACACTGTATTCAAAACACAATATTGTGAGTGCAGTTCCCAGATCGATGCAACAGCCAGAGCTGTACATTTATAATCCTGGTCAGCTTTAGAGGCCACCTCCATTCTGTACTCATCGTGAAGAGCCGATTGTTACTGTAGTTAATTATTTTACCAGGATGATGCATATGCATAGCTGGAAGATGACATTCATCATCACCTTCATGGTACTTTCCTCTTGAATCCTGAACATACATGCATTGATCAAGGGAGTTACCACTATCAATAGATGCAGAGCTTTTCCAGCACTAGCATGTTTGGCTTCCTTAGACCCACTCATAACAATTTATTTCTTTATTTTAAAAACTTCAGTGGGTTTAGAAGGATGTAACTCTGCTTTTTATTGCACTGTTATAAACTTATATTTCTCCCAGAAAACTGCATCCCAAGATGGGTAACAACAATAAGACCTATACATTATGAAAATATAAATTAAAAGCCATTACAATAGCCAGTAATAGTTAACTGAAAATAGTGTTCAGACAGCGCTGGCTCTTCGGCTTTGAAACGGAGATGAGCACCGCAACCCTAGAGTCGGACTCAACTGGCTTTCGAGCAAGGGAACCTTTACCTTTACTATAGTGGATTGGAAATTGGAAATCCCATTACTATACAAGCTGTGGCCACAATATGATAATGTATCAGTCTGGAAGCACCATATCGTTACTGAAAGGAACTGAAAAAATAGCAGAAGGTCCAACATCAGCTTTTTATCTCAAATTTTGTATAAACTTCTACTGACTTTAATGGGAGCAGATTTAGGTCAGAACAGAGTAAGCATTAAAAGTATTCCCTGGAGAGATGTTTTAAAAGCTGAAATACTTAATCACTGCAGTTAATTGCTTGTGACAGCCAAGAACATTTGTCTGCTACAAGGGAGTTTTCATATATTCTTTACCTGTGCAACTCAAAATAAGACCTCAATGGCTGCTGTAGGTAGAGTACATCTCATATAACAGCAATAAGAATGTGCACAAGTTTTATGGAAAGTGTGACCTTGGACAAGTTATCAGAGGAGTGTAGCTTTGCCTCCAGTGACAGAATTTAATTGGCAGTCAATACATTTCAACACATACAATGACTGAAAAATTTCAACAAAATCATGACTATGATGCAATTCCCATTTGTTGCTTCGGAATGAAATGCCCCTGGCGTGTGAAGCACTGCTTCAGCCTATGGAGTATGGGAGAGTTGTTAATTCAGTATATCTGTATATTGATTTCAAAAGAAGACACTCTCTGGCCATATTTGAATGCTCTGTAACCTCAGGGTGAAGGATGGGGTGTGTTTGGAAGCCCCATTTTGAGATACGGGCTCCTTCTTTCCAATTTTCCTGTGTATGTACCTTGTTCTTGAAGTCTCAGCTGAAGCAAAGGATTTAGGATTTCTAGAGGGTGTTTATCTCTGAATTCTTAGGGAGTGTATCTGAAAGGATGTTAACAAGACAATCTTCACCCTTTATGACCCTTGGCCATTAGCTGGTTGGTTCTGACTTAAAGTCCTCAAGTTCTGTGGGCATAAAAACCAAGGAATGCTGTCCAGTGCCACTTTCCTTGATATCTGGGGTCAGATTTAATTGGTTGGCTCTTCCTCACCCCTT